TGGGTGGGGCGGGGTCTCAGGGAATCACCAGGTCAGAGTAAATAGAAATGTCTGCCAGTCAGCCCTGCACCAGGGAGATCCCAGCACAGGAATAATGACCTCTGGGAGTACCTCCGTCTGGAAGAAAGCCTCCCATGAGTTACTGCAGACAGTCCAGTTTCTCCCCGTATGTGTTTGGGTCCCCCAGAGCCTCCCCCGGCACTGGAGCTCAGAGGGAGTGGGAGCTTGTAAATTCAGTTCATGGTGCTGGTCTTTTAAGAGGAGCAGCTGGGTCTCTAGCAGCCTGTGTGTCACTCAGCCCCAATCCACACTGGTTTTTACAGTTCGTAGTTCTTATTGCCCCTAGGGACTTATTTCCCCAGCTCTGAGACCCTGGCTGGGGGTCTGGTGTGGGGCTGGGACCCCTCGCTCCTCCGTGCAGCCTCTGCAGAGGCAATCTCCCCCCAGATTATAAAAGCGGCACACCCAGGTGCCGGACCAGCCCGTTCTGGGCCTCCGTACCTCCTACCAGTCTCAGTGTGGTTTCTTCTTCTCTCATTGTAGTACTTCCACTCAGCTAGCTTTCCCATGGTTCTGGATGATAGTTGTAATTTTGTTCTGTATTTTAGTTGTAATTTTGATGTGGTTGTAGGAGTCAGCAAGTACAGGCATTTACCTATGCTGCCATCTTGGTTCTCCTGTTGACTCTTTTTACTATAAGCATATATTTACTTTATGATAACTAAAATGAAGATAATTTGAAATCTTTAGGTCCTAGCTCTATTCTAATACGGTAGGGCCTTGACTTATGGGTCCCGACTAACGAGTTTTTTGAGATACCAGCTGTCTCTCAGCTGGTTTTTTGCATTGAGTTGATAGAGTAATTTGAGGTAACGAGCTCCTTAACGAGCTTGGTCTTGAAACAAATTAAACTTGTAAGTCAAGGCCCCAGTGTAGATGGTAAGTAGAGAGTGAATAACCACTTATATTTGATCACAGTACTTCCTTTGATAGAAGTTTCCATCCATATGCAGTGTGAATTGTTACTGTTTAGACATAGAATGGTTATCTCTGTGATTTCACCAGGAAAAAAAGTTTGTGTGGACAGAATCCTCTGACACATTTGAACATATATTAAATAGTTAAGGATAGTGGTGTTTTTTTCCATAAATAGTTTAGTTGTATAAAATTGTGACCTTTTGTTTGCAGAAATGAGTAAGGCAATAAAGAGATACCCTGTAAATATTAGGATGGTATTAAGCACTTCTGTTTTTAATGGAAATTTTTTCATTTGACCCTTTGACATGGTACTGATGTGTATAATTTATGCTGAAATTATATCTTACAGATGAGAAAGCCAGCAGATGAAAAATTAGAGAAATTTTGGATTGATTTCAACCTAGGAAGTCAGAGTGTAACTTTTTATATAGAGAGTACAGAGGTAATCACGTTTGATTTCTATTTAAACTTAAGCGCTTAGAGATTGCTCTATGTATGTGTTATATGCTCATGAATTTCACGTATTTTTTCCCCCTAAGAGTGCTCTGTGGGACTCCGTAAGACTTTTGAAGGAAGCAGTGATTAATTTCAGCATAATAGGTAAGATGATAAACTATCAGAGTATTATTTCTGTTTATAGTTGCAGTATGTGTTTAGTTAATTACAGAGCAGATTTAGTGCCTTGGGGTGGAAGTGTAGTGGAAGGAGCACTGTGCTTAGGACCAGGATGCAAGGGAATGGAACTGGTGACTTCTTTGCTTTGTGACTTTGGGGTTCAATTACTTGCCTGATTTTCTCATTGTAGAAATGGTTTAGTTTTTTAAAAAATTAAAAATTAAATTACGATGTGATCTAGCAATATCACTTCCGGGTATATATCTGGGAGAATTGAACACAGGACTTGAAGAGATATTTATACACCCCGGTTCATTGTAGCATTGTTCTCAATAGCCAAGAGGTAGAAACAGCCTAAGTGCCTATCAGTGGATAAATAAACAAAATGGGGTGTATACATACAGTGGAATATTATTCAGCTTGGAAAGGAAAGAAACTCTGACAACATGGATGAACCTTGAGGACATTTTGCTAAGTGAAATAAGCTAGTCACAAAAGGACAAATACTGTATGATTCTACTTATATGAGGCATCAAATTGGTAGAGGTAGTAGAATGGTGGTTATCAGGATCTGTGGGGAGGGGAAATGGGGACTTGTTTAATGTGGACAGTTTCAGATTTACAAAATGAAAATGTTCTGGAAAATCTGTTTTACAACAATATATACTAACTGAACTATACACTTAAACATGGTAAGTGTTATTTTTTGTACCATAATTTTAAAAAAATGGCTGTAGTACCTGTCCTTCCCTTTCCACAGATTTATGGTAATTATCAATGAGTTTATGTGGGTATGTGCCACCTCTGTCTAAATAGCATCCCTCAGACCCCCCTTAAACTCGATCATTCACCTTCCTTCTCAGATTGGTAGACAGGAATGAGGGACATAAAATTAGGAGTGATGCTTTTCTGGATATCTGCAGTAACCTTAGTCCAGTTAGGCATTTCAACTCTAATCATACTTAAACATCTATCAGGGTTCCCAAATTGGGTCTTTAAAAATAAAGGGATTTTGGGGGGTCCTAGTTGGTTTGGCTCTGTGAATAGAGCTTCGGCCTGCAGACTGAAGGGTCCCGGGGTTGATTCTGGTCAAGGGCACATGCCTGGGTTCTGGGCTTGATCTCTAGTAGGGGGCGTGCAGGAGGCAGCCAATTGGTGATTCTCATTATTGATTTTTTTTTCTCTCTCTCCCTTCCTCTCTGAAATTAAAAAAATATTTTTAAAAAGGGATGTTGGGGTGTGGAGGAGGTAGAAGTTGGCAAAGGGGGATAATTGGGGACAAAAAGAGACTTGACTTTGGGTGGTGAGCACACAGTGCAGTGTGCAGATGATGTTTTGAGTTGTACACTTGAAGCTTGTAGTTTATTTTTTTTTAATATGTTTTTATTGATTTCAGAGAGAGAAAGGGAGGAGAAAGAGATAGAAACATCAGAGAGAATCATCCAGCTGCCTCCTGCACGACCCCCACTGGGGATTGAGCCTACAACCTGGGCATGTGCCCTGACCAGGAATCCAACTGTGATCTCCTGGTTCATGGGTCAACCACTCAACCACTGAGCCACACCGGCTGGGCCTGTATAGTTTTATTAACCAATGTCAGCTAACTTCATTGTTCTATTAAACAATAATTTTTGAAAAGATGAAATCATGAGCCTCATACAAATATTAAATGAATGTGAGTTGAAGATTTTATTTAATTCATGAATTAATGAGGAAATTAATGAGATGTAATAGCCAGTTCAAAGGAGAATTTAAAATCATACATATGTAAGTAATGCTGAAATGAACATACAAAGAGATTTAAGACTAGGCAAATTATTCCACAGATAGAATTAATTTGAATTTTCTAGAGATGAGAATCATTATCATTATTATTATGATCAGTTTTCCACAACTCACAGATTTGTAGAATAGCTCAAAGACAATGAAAAGCTCAGTTAACCCAAAAGGGATTTGAGAGAGGCACCCAGAAACTTTTTGGCCCATTTCAAAATGTTTCACAGTTTTCTGTATTAGTTCTTTTCAGTGCTTGTGAGAATTTCTTCTAATGTGCAGGGATTTTTACTTTCTCCTGTTGGATACTATTAGGAAAAAAGGGAAATTTTAGGATAAGGATAGACGAGGCAGTAAAGCAAATGGCAGAAGAGGAGGAGAGACTTTTCCAGTGAAGCCGTGGGAGAAAGAAGTGAAAAGTGAAGAGAAGGGAGCCTAGATTTTGGAATTACAGGTATATTACTTGACATCTGAGGAGCCTGGAATTGGAAGAACAAAGAGAGTATGGAAAACTGCACACTCATAACACTTCTGACACCAAATACATAGTTTTTTTTCCCCTCACATTAAGCAATTCTGATGCTACCTACCTGGAGTTAGTACAGACCTCACACCTTGAGGGCTCAGTCCCATAAGATTTCCCCTACTAATCATAAGTCCCAGTATTACCAGAGAGCCACCCGAGTCAAAGATGGCTCTCTCCTCCTCAGTTTTTATTACACTCACAAGAAAGAATTCAGATGAGTGACAGAAAGCAATATTGAAATAAAGCAAGGGGATTTATTAAGAATACACTTGGCAACCCTAGCTGGTTTGGCTCAGTGGATAGAGCATCGGCCTGCAGACCAAAGGGTCCCAGGTTCAATTCCAGTCAAGGGCATATACCTTGGTTGCGAGCTCCGCCCTGGCCCAGGCCCTGGTTGGGGTGTGTGCAGGAGGCAACTAATTGATGTGTTTCTCTCACATTGATGTTTCTCTCTGTCTTTCTCTCTCTCTTCCACTCTCTAAAAATCAATGGCAAAATATCCAGGGGTGGGACAACAACAACAAAAAAGAATACACATGGCATAAGGCACAAGCAGGCAACTCAGCTAATCTGAGTGCCCCACTTGGTGGGGGTTCAAGGGTTTTATACTCCCTCCCCCCCATATGTTTCAAGGTTCTCCTATCAGATAGACTAGATTTCAAGGTTCCCCTTTTACATTGTTGCAGCTTTCCTCAGAATTTATGAGAACATCTGGCCATGTTGTCTTCACAAGTCCCAAGAGGGCTGACTTCTTTGTTCAGTGGGTGAGATAAACTCCCCCTTTTCATTCCTTTCCCTCCTCCTGCCCTGACAGCTATTTATCCTGCCTGACATTCCCCTCTCAAGTAATACCATCCAAATGCTTTTGGATTTTTGTTATTTGTCTCCAAGACTTCATCTGGCCTTGGGTTTAGCTGGCACAAATGGCATTAATTGGGTCTGTGTCCTCTGTTTTCCCAGGCCAGGGTGATTCAAGCTATGTATTCTCTGGTTAAGGAATTGCTCTCAAGTGTCCTTAGTTGGGGAAGATAAGATCTTGCAGTTCAGAAGCTGGCTGCAAGCTGCCCAAAGTGTTTGGTCTTGTTTAATTTTGTTGTCTCAGTTTCCCCATTCCACTGGCCCAGGGATTTCCCTAGCTTCTTACTATGCTGGCACACCAGATGGCCACCTGTCAACTTCTGACCAATTTGCTACAAATCGTGGGTTCTCACAACTTCCTCGGGTTTGATAATTTGCTATATTGGCTCACAGAACTCAGGGAAGCACTTATTTAAATTACAAGTTTATTATAAAGAATACAATCAAGGATACAGATGAAGAACCGGGTAAAGAGGCACATAGGGCGGGATTGAGAAGTATCCTGAGCATAGGTGCTCCTGTCCCTGAGAAATTGGGTTGCTCTACCCTCCTGATCCAAGAAGGTGTTAACCTGAAAGCTCTTTAAGCCCCTACTTTAGGAATTTTTATGGAAGCTTTATCACAAAGGCACGATAGATTATTAACTCAATCTCTGGCCCCTTTCCCCTTCCTGGAGGTTGAGGAGTGGGGTCTGAAAGTTCCAAACCTCACATGGTGACTTAGTCTTTCTGGGATGGCCACCATCCTGCTACTCTAGGAGCCACCAGTCACCTCATTACACACAAAAGACACTCTTCACTCCAGGGATTCTAAGGGTCTTAGCTCTTGTGTTAGTAATAGGGGTCAGAGACCAAATATTAGAAGAAAAGATGCTTCTAGCGAATTACAAAGATTTTTAGGAGCCCTGTGTCAGGAGTCTGGGCAGAGGCCAAATATATAGTTCTTATTGTGTCACAGATGAGAAGAGCTAGAGTTACACAATCACAGAATTGGAAAGATAGGATGCATTAGTTGGGAGTATCACCTACCTGTAGGAAATAGAAGGGGTTTATAAATAACTTACTAGAAATGTGAATTAAGTATAATCATAAATATAAATTAAGAATAACTTAATTTATGTTGTCATTACCTATTACTGTTAATTTCAGATATATAAAATATTGTTGATGTTTACTCTAAGTCATTATTTTGGAAGGACTTCCATGGATTTTCTGACTGTGGTAGCCCTAACATTGTTTTTCTTAGTTTAAGTTCCGAACTCCAAACCTTGCTACTGTAATGGTTTTCAGGAACTAACTTGCCAAGTTAATATTCTATACTTCACTAATATATCACATTTCCGTGAGACTCCATAATTTACAAAGTGCCTCACAGTGTTTGAAGGAGGTAGGTATTATTTTCTATTTTTATTTTTTTTAAATATATTTTTATTGATTTCAAAGAGGAAGGGAGAGGGAGAGAGAGTTTCATAGAAAGATCAATGATGAGAGAGAATCATTGACGGGCTGCCTCCTGCATTCCCCCCCTCACCCCCCACTGGGGTTTGAGCCCACAACTTGGGCATGTGCTCTTGACCGGAACCGAGCTCAGGACCTTCAGCCCGCAGGCTGGTGCTCTATCCACTGAGCCAAACCAGCTAGGGCTGTTTTCTATTTTTATAGCCAAGGAAACTAAAGATTGTTTAGCAAACTCTCCAAGCAACACCTTAGTTTTATATGCAACTTCTTGCTAAGCAGTTGGCAATGCTTTAGTAGTACATTGAGTGCTTGGTGCAGCCCTGAGATAATTTCTTCTGAATCTTGTATGCCCTTGTATGTTTGCATTGAGCTCTACATCCCAAATAGCTGTTTATATTTTTAGATAAAGTTTGAATTACTTTTGTTGCAGTGTTTCATAGACTTTTCCTGTAGTGACTAGATGTCCAGTAAGATTGGTGTTTGGGGGGATTGCTGAGGTTGTCTCTATGCCAACATTGTCCTATAGAAACACAGTATGAGCCACATATTTAATATTAAATTTTCACATAGCCACAAAGAAGTTATTTTAATAATATACATTTAACTAAATATATCCAAAATATTAACATTTAAACATGTAATTAAAATGAAAAATTGATGAGATATTTTACTTTCTTTTTTTTTTTTGTACTAAGTCTTCACAAATTGATGTGTATTTTATGCTTATGGTGCACTTTGATTTGTACTAGCCATATTATAAGTACTCAGTACCCATAAATCTAGGTGTGTCTCATTCTTTTTTCCTCTTTCTGTCCTCATCAATTTATGACTGTTAGCTTTGCCTATTCTTTCAGAGACTTTCCTCTTTTCTCTCCTGCTGCTTCCAACTCAGCATGTACTTACTATGGCTTATTCTTGGACTCTCCTTGAATTATTAGCCAGTAATTTTCAACCTTCTTTCATTTCATGGAAATGAACTAAACTAATTACTAAAATTCTGCAGCATACACAAAAACACATGATATTTTTTGTTGATTCAATAAAAAATAGGTATAATTTTGACTGATTAATAAAAAAAACCAACCTCATAGTAATTACCTATAATTTTTGTTCCAAAGTGGTTTTTAAAAAAATCAGGTGCCTATACTTGTATATAAGGATTTTTTGTACCAAGAATTAACCAATTAGATGCAACCTTATTATTCTAGGTGACCAATAAGATGCAAATCTTTTATATGATCTATATAAAAGACAGGGCATTCACACTGGACAGCTATTGTTGTGTTGGCTGTTGTCATTTCCTTATTTGACGATCTAAGGGAAAATAAGTCAGTATCTCTGACTAAATAGTCAGGTATTGCATGTTTTAAAAATTCTTGTAGCACACCCTTTGAAAATCGCTGCTCTAAGCTATTTTCTGTTCTAAATCAATTACTATTTGTCAGTAAAGGGCTGGTGTCCTGGAAGGGGGCCCTCACGGAGACTGTTGTCTAAGAAACAGGCCTGTCTCTATGATGTTTCCGTTTCTCCTTTTTAAGTGGAGGCTATTGAAAGGAAGGTAGATTATTCCACTTCACACATTGCAAACAGTGACATTGAATTTGAATTTTAGAAATAAGTGGGATCTGGGAGAGAGAAAGAATGAGAATGAATGTTGTGCTTAATATATTGGGAAGTTAAATACCTGTTGTATAGGATAGCTTTGTATTCACAAAATGCTCTTTGAAAAATGATTTCAGTACATAAGGATATTTCCATTGCTATGCTGCTAAGATTAGTTACTTTCTATTTCTGTCATATTAACCACTTCATCATTTGTGTCTATAAACACACATGTGAATCTAAAAAAAAAAACTTCTAAATAAATTTTAAAAAATTATTTAAACTTGGTTGCTTTATTTTGCACTTTTAAAATTCACAAAGCTTCACAATATCTGTGTTTGATCATCAAGGTTTTATAAGACAATGAAAATTTTATCGCATCAACTGGGCATACTCAAAAAACAATGGATAATTTACAAACAAATTTTTTTAATGAAGAACATTTTTCAAAATGCATACTGGTACACATGTGAATTAATCTATCCTAAAATTAGACTTTAAAGTAAAAAAAAAAACAACTAAAAAAAACACCACAGACAGATTTAACACTGACAAGCCTACCAGAATAATGCTGGTGGCAAGCTATAAACAGCTTTAATGTTGAGTGTAATTTGGGGGTAGCAGGAAGAAAATATTATATGTTTAATCTGCATTTAAATGCATCAGTGAGTAAAAATTCTATAATTTAATGAAGTGAACAACAATTTAAAAAAGTGAACAACTCTTTTGCCTACAGGTTAGTTTCTCAGGTTTGTTTGCTTTTAACTGTGAAATTTTGACTAAAGAAAATGGATCCTAGAACTAGAATCCTTAAGGAAAAGAAAAACATGGGGGTGCAGGAGAAACAAAATCAATACTTTAATCTTTCTAACGTGGTTGTAACAAACAAAATCATTGTTCATATTAAGAAAGAATATCAGAGATGATATAGGGCAGTGGTTGGCAAACTCATTAGTCAACAGAGCCAAATATCAACAGTACAACGATTGAAATTTCTTTTGAGAGCCAAATTTTTTAAACTTAAACTATATAGGTAGGTACATTGTTATTAACTTAATTAGGGTACTCCTGAGGCTTAGGAAGAGCCACATGTGGCTCACAAGCCGCAGTTTGCCGACCACAGATATAGGGGGTTGAGTTTTGGCTTATGTAACTTCTAAAAATATGATTTCTTTTCAACTACTCATTGCAGAAAAATCTGGATTGTTGACAAATATCTCAGTGTACTTATTTAAAATTATAAAATACAAACTTTCAATGTATTGATATACATTGGTGTATTTTATTTTTTGCTAGAAACTGAAAAGAAAAAGATGTTCATCATTTACTTGAAGCCTATTAATATTGGAAACAAGGAAGTGAGGAAAGTAGAAATTCATTTTGATTTGCAATTCAACATATCACAAGCTTCCGTTAAAGCTTTAGGAGAAGACAAACAGGTGGCAGGTTTAATTCTCTTTAATTATTTGACTGTGTTTTAGTATGTTTTCATGTCTCTTAAATTTCCATGTTGGTTTTTTTTTTAAATTGAAATATAATCGACATAATATTATACAGTCATGTGTTGCATAATAATTTTTCAGTCAGTGACAGACTACATAGATGAAGGTGGTCCCATAAGATTATAATGGAGTTGAAAAATTCCTATCACCTAGTGACAGCATAGCACTCATAACATCATCATAGTTCAATGCATTTGTAATGATGTTGATGTAAACAAACCTACAGCCAGTTGCATAAAAGTATAGAACATAATCCTTGATAATGATAATAAACAACATTATTGATTTATAAATTTACTATATTTTTTTGTCATAGAGTATTCTTTCTCTTTATTAAGCAAAAAGTTTGCTGTTAAACAGTATGCTGCGTTACACATTGGCAGCAGCCTCATACATCTGAGGCTTATTGTGTCTTTTGCTTGAATCATTTCATGTTGTATTTGTTTTAATCTCATGTTTTATACAGTAACATGCTATACAGGATTGTAGCCTAAGAACAATAGACTCTATAATATAGCATAGGTGTGTAGTAGGGTATACCATCTAGGTTTGTGTAAGTGCACTCAATGATGTTCGCATAACAAAGACATCACCTGATAATGTATTTCTCAGAACATATCCCCCATCATTAGTGGTGCATGACTGTATTAGTTTCAGGTGTACAACATAATGATTCAGCATTTGAATATATAGCAAAATGACCACAACAAGTCTAGTTAACAGTTGTTGCCATAAAGATTTTTTTTCTTGTGAGGAGAACTTTTAATTTACTTTCTTAGTAATTTTCAAATACGTAGTTTTTGTCTATTTCTCCTTTAGGTTTGTTAATATTTGTTTTATATAGGAAGGTTCCTATGTTAGGTGCATAAATATTTTTAAATATTGTGTTGTAATATTGTGTTGTAGGATTGATCCCTTTATCATTATATAATGACCTTCTTTTTTTTTATTAAATCTTTATTGTTCAGATTATTACAGGTGTTCCTCTTTTTTCCCCCCAATAGCTCCCCTCCACCCAGTCCCCACCCCACCCTCTGCCCTTACCCTGCCCACTGTTCTCATCCATAGGTGTACGATTTTTGTTTAGTCCCTTCCTGCACCCCCAAACCCCTTCCCTCCCAAGAATTGTCAGTCCACTCCCTTTCCATGCCCCTGGTTCTATTATATTCACCAGTTTACTCTGTTCATCAGATTTTTTATTCACTTGATTTTTAGATTCACTTGTTGATAGATATGTATTTGCTGTTCATAATTTTTATCTTTACCTTTTTCTTCTTCTTCCTCTTCTTAAAGAATACCTTTCAGTATTTCATGTAATACTGGTTTGGTGGTGAAGAACTTCTTTACCTTTTTCTTGTCTGTGAAGCTCTGTATCTGAACTTCAATTCTAAATGATAGCTTTGCTGGGTAGATCTTGGTTGTAGATCCTTGCTATTCATCACTGAGTATTTCTTATC